ATTTCACCATAGAGAGCACTAGTGTCTTAAAAAGTATCATCATTGGTATGGCATCCCTTGTATGGAAGGTCCTTGTTAGCCTCTCTGCCATTTTTCTTACAGTTGAGACATCTACTTTATGGTGTTCTGTAAAGGTAAGGTCTTCTAACATGATTACTTCTAGGTTCTTTACCTAGAAGTAATCCTTTCTCGTTCTATAGTGTGATTTGATTGTTTTATTTATGGTTTCCGTTTTTAAATTTTCATTTTTTTTCCACAGTGAAGGAGCTGGAACTTATTTTCATCAATCATCATATTATTATCTGTGGCCCATTAAAAGACCCGATTTACATGCGATTGGAGATTTGCCGTGTCCTCTATATTGTCTACTCAAATGAAAATCCTAGTGTCATTTGCAAATGATGATGCAGTGCTGTAGTTTGTATTCTTGTCTATGTCTGATATTAGGGTGAGAAAAAGTACCAGAGCAAGTACGGTACTTTGGGGGACTGAGCTTTTCACAGTAAATGATGCAGATTTAACTGTGTTGACTATTACACACTGCATTCTGTTCATTAGGAAGTTGAAGATCCATCTCCCTACTTTGCCAGTAATTCCTTTTGCACGCATTTTGTGCACAATAACACCATGGTCACATTTGTCGAAAGCTTTTGCAAAGTCTGTGTATATTACATCTATGTTTTGCTTATCTTCCATGGCACCTAAGGCCATATCATAGTGATCCAGCAACCGAGAGAGGCAGGAGCGCCCTATTATGAACCCATGTTGTTCGTGGATATGTAGATGTTGTGATTCCATATGATTTGTAATCTATCTATCTTAGCACTATTTTAAAGATTTTTATGGTGTGAGGTTAGAGCTATTGGTCCAATTTTTTGCATCTGCTTTATTACCCTCTTTGTGAAGTGGCATGATTGCCTCCATTTTAAGTATGTCAGGGATGACACCAGTATCTGGGCTCTGTCTCCAAAAGATGTTTAGGGCCTGTGATAGTGGTTGTGCTCTTCTTGATGAATATAGAATTCCACGAGTTTGGGCGTGGTGCAGAGTGCATGGGCATGCTTTCTATGGCTACTTCAAAGTCCAGTGGGGTACAGTAATTTTTTGTCACACCAATATCGAACCATATATCAGAAGCCATATTAACTCCTGGGCGGCACAGCTTTAGTAGCTGACAAACACTGCAGTGCACAGAAAAACAAAAACATAAAACATTGTTTTTCTTCTTCTAAGACAGTTAAAAAGTGACCCTGACAACAGTGAAAAAAATCGTAGGTGATATATTTTGAGTGTGAGAGGGGTGAGATAGTGTGGCAAGATACAGGCACTGAAAGTGTACGCGACCAGGGCCGGTCTTCAACACCTGAGTTGTCAGTTGGGAGTTGGCACAAAAATATTTTTACGTAATTTGTTCATTGTCTGTTTGTTTCAGAAATATTATTCAGTAGTGTGTAGTGTAGTATATTTATATAATGTATAAACCATCACTATACTCAAAAGTATGGTGTGCATACTAGTGATTCAATTATGTTCATAAAATAATAAAATAATAATTTTGCTGTTATTACACTATATACCAGCATTATATATAAGTATCTACAAGTTTTGTTCTCCATAACTGTACCACTAAGCTGATATGGTGACCAAACACCATAACAGCCACCATACACTGCACTACCCAAGTCACACAGCAGCCAGCAGATGACGCCACCTCCCTCACCACCACACTTCTGCCAACATACTGCTTTGCTGTTTACACTATATACACATGTTACATTTAAGTTCAGTGGTACCTCCTTATATGAATTTAATCCCAGAAACAGGTTGTAACTCGAAAATTCGTAACTCGAAACAAATTTTCCCATAAAAAATAATGTAAATAGAATTAATCTGTTCTACACTCCCAAAAATATTAGCTTCAAAATACATTTCATATATAATACACACACTTATTTTATACTACAGTATGCATAAGTTATAGCTTACCTTTATTGATGACTCTTGTTGGTGTATGGAAGATGGTGAGGAGAGGGGGAGGAGAAGAGGTGTTACTATTTGGAAGGGGACTTTCATAACATCAGGTACTGATGACTTATCTGAGGGTACTCTTTTTTTTTTCTCCTACGTTTTGCCTGCTTACCACTAGGACCTGGTTGTAGCTCACTGCCTGTTTTTTCCTCACTAAGAACCTTTCCATAGAGACTTGTTTTCCCAACATTATTGGGAAAAACTCGTTTTCCGTACGTTTTCCCAATTAAAGGCATATTGATGCTCCTTTTGCCACTTAAGCACTCACAATGTTCTTTTTCTTATCAAGTACGATGAATATCGTTGACATAGATTTATTGTACTACCCAGCTAAATGTTTTTTCTCTATGGTCATCCTCACATGTGTTTTCTTAGGGTGAATCTTATCACTGATTTTCTTGGGACCCCTTCGGCTCCCTAGAGCTAACTGGGCTGATATGAATGTATTAGACCCTGACATCAGTCAAACGAATGGAGTTCTTAGGCCTGCTGGGGACCATGAGCCAGAACCTGGCCCCCCGCTCAGAGAGACAAAGAGCAATGGCCTATAGAAACCCCCGTGTGATTGGAAGCATTCTATGTCTGCCATCGACTGGGTCAGGCACCCAGAAAGGTAAGCGCCCCAAAACAAACCCTTATTCTGGTTAAGAAATTGCTAGTGAAAGTCGAACTAGTGGACAGAACTCCCCAAATGAAAACAAGCAAACGAGCATGACGTCACCACGTCATTGCACCGCTGTCTTTGCAGTCCCCCCCCCCCCCACTGGGAGTGGGGAGGGGGAAGGGGGAGCCCCAAACCCCTCGCACTGGTTATCCACCCTGCAGTTTTGTGGCTGATGTGAGGCTGGTAAGGTTGTACGAATCTGTTTCAAGATTTCCAGTCGTGTGCCTTGTGGTGTAATTACCTAAGTGTAATTACCTAAGTGTAGTTACAGGATGAGAGCTACGCTCGTGGTGTCCCGTCTTCCCAGCACTCTTTGTCATATAACGCTTTGAAACTACTGACGGTCTTGGCCTCCACCACCTTCTCACTTAACTTGTTCCAACCGTCTACCACTCTATTTGCGAAGGTGAATTTTCTTATATTTCTTCGGCATCTGTGTTTAGCTAGTTTAAATCTATGACCTCTTGTTCTTGAAATTCCAGGTCTCAGGAAGTCTTCCCTGTCGATTTTATCAATTCCTGTTACTATTTTGTATGTAGTGATCATATCACCTCTTTTTCTTCTGTCTTCTAGTTTTGGCATATTTAATGCTTCTAACCTCTCCTCGTAGCTCTTGCCCTTCAGTTCTGGGAGCCACTTAGTAGCATGTCTTTGCACCTTTTCCAGTTTGTTGATGTGCTTCTTAAGATATGGGCACCACACAACCGCTGCGTATTCTAGCTTTTGGTGCTGTCTTCGGTGGTGTGCGAATGTACAGCATTGGCGGAGCTGCTGCAGCTTGCTTTCAGCATTGATGTTACTTTCTGACCATTCCGCAAGCTGTGTCGGGCGTTCTTTCACCTCCGGCCTGCTCATGCGCCGCCTGAGCTGTCCTGGTCCTTGGATCGGGTGGTCTCTTTTTTTTCTCTCTTCCCCATGATTGGTGATGGCCTCTTCGGTTCAGGATTGTTTCTCTAAGGTTTTTCTTGTTGGCATTGGCCTCTGGGGTCAGGTCGGGGAGCCTCGTGCTCTCCTCCGGCACAGGGGGTTTCTGTTCTTTTGGTCCTGGTAGTAGGTTTGTTTGTTTGCAGCCGTCTTCTTCTTTTCTGGCGAAGAATAAGACTGCTGCTTTCTGGAGGGGGTCCTTGGGTTGTTGATGCTTGGTTGGTTAGGCCAGGGGTGCATTATGTGTTGTGTCCGGTCACGGCTCTACGCCGCTACCTGCACGCCACTGCCTCGGTGGCCGGGGATGTGCTTTGGGTTGATCCGGTTTCCCTTCTTCCCTGTTCCAGGGTTCAGGTCTCCCAGGTCGTCCACAGGGTTATTCAGTCCAGCCAGCCTGTTGTCTATCCCTGTGACCATGATGTTCGTAAGTTTGCAGTGCTAACTGCAATCTTTGGTAACATGTCTTTGGCTGACATTCGGGCGCGGGGTTTTTGGAGGTCGAACAGGGTCCTGGCCGCTCGCTATCTTGTGAATGTTTCTGGGCCTCATTGGGCCTGTGTCGTGTTGGATCGGCGGTTGCAGCCAGTTGTCTCAACTTCGAGTTGAGCAGCAAGTGCCGACCACCTCCAGGGTAAGTCCCTCTTGTTTTTGTCTTTGGGTAAGTAGCTCCAGGGAGCTGAAGGGGCTCCCACTAGAAAACCAGCGTAGAATGTAATGAAATGCCATTTTCTGAGTGAGACCCGGAGGCAACCCTCCCTCCTTCCGGTCGGCATCTTTTTCACGGTTTTTGACATCCAGCCCCAGAAATGCAGGGTGGATAGTCAGTGTGGGGTGTCTGGGGCTCCCCCCTCCCAGGGAGGTGGGAGCTGCTCAGACAGCTGCGTGGTGATGTGGTGATGTCATACTCATTTGCTCGTTTTCATTTGGGGGTTTCCACTAGTTGGGCTTTCAGTAGCAATTTCTCAACAGAATAGCAGTTTGTTTTGGGGCGCTTACCTTTCTGGGTACCTGACCTGGTCGATGGCAGAATGCTTCCAATCACAAGGGGTGACCATGTGTGATAGGCCACTGCTCCTTGTGCCTCTTTGAGGGAGCCAGGTTCTGGCTCGTGGTCCCTGGTACTAAGAACTCCATTCGCTTTGATGCCAGGGTCTAATACTGTACATTCATATCAGCCGTGGATAGCTCTGGGTAGTTTCTGGGTCTCGCCCAGAAAATGGCGTTTCATTACATTCTACGCAGGTTTGTTTTGTTTGGTGATTTTTAATCATTATGAGTTATATTTATATGATTTTAATTCCAGTAAATACTGAATGCCTACTGCAAGTGCTATTTGGCTTTTTATCCTGTATTACCTAATGCAATTAAGTTTTCTGTATTTCAGGGTGGAGATTTAGGGCTACCATTAACAGCTCTTGGAGAATGTGCACTTCATGTAGCAATTTATCAAGAAAATGGTGCCTCTCTTCCATTAGTGGACTTTTTGGTTCAAAACAGTCACTCACTAGATCGACAGACCCTAGAGGGTAACACACCTTTGCACTATTGTGTTATCTCCAATAAACCTGAATGTATGAGGCTGTTACTGAGAGTGGGTGCCAACCCTAGCATAGAGAATAATAATGGTAAGACTCCACTGGACATTGCAAATGAACGAAACTGCAGGCTCATGGAAGATATGGTATGTTAATTCTTCAACTGACATTTTGTTTCCATCTAGATGATCATTATGATAGGTTTCAAGACTATGTCAAGCATGTTCATCAATATCCTTCTAAACTACATCTATACTTTCCCAGTGCAGAACTAAAAGCTCACTCTCATTTGCCTTAATATTTGTGAAACTGTTTAAATTGTAAAAGCTTGTACAAGGATTAGCTATAATAGGAAGGTTTATTAATAATTTATTAACCCTATCTTGCACATGCAGAGTACTGCTAAACTGAACATCAAATCATTATATTATACACAAAATTAATTATTTTTCATCAGATAATTAAAAAATAAAAATTTCATAAAATTGTTGGTTTAAAGTAGTTTATTTTGTGGGGGGAAGCCCCTTTGGCTCTCCGGAGCTATCCAGGCGGATATGTATACTATTAGACTTTGGCATCAGTCAGTGTGAATGGAGTTCTAGGCAAACCGGAGACCACGAGCCAGAACCTGGCCTCCCCTCAGAGAGGCATGAAGGGCAATGGCTTATAGAAATGCATGTGTGTGGAGCATTCTATGTCTGCCATCGACCTGGCCGAGCACCCAGAAAGGTAGGCACCCCCAAAACAAACCCCTAATCTGGTTAAAACTATCAATGAAAACTAACAAGTAAACAGAACTCCCCAGTTGAAAATTGAGCATGACGTCACACTTGCCGCACCGCTTGTCTGCGCCGCTTGTCAAGCTCAGTCTTGTCTTCCCCCCTTCCCCCTCCCCAGGAGGAGGAACGGGGAAAGCCCCAGACCCATCACGCCGGCTATCCACCTGTTAGTTCTCGGTCGTGTGTCTCCAGCTCCTGATTCTCTCTGTGTTGTGCTGTGCCTTGTGTCCGATACTACTATTATGGTGGTGTGTGAGCTGGGAGTAATATTCACAGGATTCTTTTCCCTGAGTGCCCTGTAAGTACTGCCCTTGGGGCTTGGAGTTATTTTCCACAAGGTACCTTGGGGTCTATCTCTGTTGGTGATTGACTACCCTTTGGGAGCTTTGGGAGCCGGTCGGCCGAGCGGACAGCATGCTGGACTTGTGATCCTGAGGTCCCGGGTTCGATCCCAGGCGTCGGCAAGAAACAATGGGCAGAGTTTCTTTCACCCTATGCCCCTGTTACCTAGCAGTAAAATAGGTACCTGGGTGTTAGTCAGCTGTCACGGGCTGCTTCCTGGGGGTGGAGGCCTGGTCGAGGACCGGGCCGCGGAGACACTAAAAAAGCCCCGAAATCATCTCAAGATAACCTCAAGATAACCCTGGGAGTGTTGGGGGTTTCCTCCTCCCGTGTTTACCTTGGGGTAAGTGGTAATTTTGCATTGGTAGGGGCGCAGGGCACTGCGCAGCTAGTTTTCATCTATTACAGCGGCTGGCTCTGTTCCTCCTGGGTACATTGCGGGGTTTTTCTTTTAATTTTTGTTTCTACCTGGTGGGGTCCGCTCTTGTTCCCCCTACCCCTAGTTATAGTAGGTCTTGACCTCCTACGTTTAGTGGTGCCCCCTACTTGGCCTCCCGTGAGTGGACACGTCCAGGTACTTCAGTTTTAGAAGTTTGGTAGACTTGGGCACCGGTTAGCAGTACCCACCTGGGCTTACCCTTAGCAATAAGCAATAACAGTCTAAGGGCCCTGGGAAACACCACGGGGGTGCATGGGGTCCAATGGATGCAAGCCCTGGGTCCCCCCTCTCCTTGTGTGAGTTTGAGGGCTGCTCTGTCCTCTTGTCTCAGGGTGACACTCTTTGCTTTTGCCTCTGTCATTCTGCCTGTTGGGTCGGTGACATCTTTGACATTCCATAACATGGCATTTATTCACATTAAATTCCATTTGCCAAGTGTTGCTCCATATACTTATTTTGTCCAGGTCTTCTTGAAGGGCATGACAATCATCTAGGTTTCTTATCTTCCCTATTATCTTAGCATCATCAGCAAACATGTTCATGTAATTCTGTATTCACACTGGTAGATCGTTTATGTAGACAATGAACATTACCGGTGCAAGAACTGTGGTACTCGACTCGCAACATTCCTCCAATCCGATACCTTGCCTCTGATTACGGCCCTCATTTTTCTGTCAGTTAGGAAATTTTTGATCCATGTTAGAAGCTTACCTGTCACTCCTCCAGTATGTTCGTTTCCAGAACATCCTCTTATGGGGAATTCTGTCGAAAGCCTTTTTTAGGTCCAGATAGATGCAGTTAACCCAACCATCTCTTTCCTGTAAAATCTCTGTGGCTCGATCATAAAAACTGAGCAAGTTCATTACACAGGATCTTCCAGATCAAAAACCATACTGTCTGTCTGATATTATATCGTTTTCCTCCAGGTGTTCTACCCATTTAGTTTTAATTATTTTTTCCAATATTTTGACTATTACACTTGTCAATGATACAGGTCTGTAACTAAGGGGGTCTTCCCTGTTTCCACTTTTGTAGATTGGAACTATGTTAGCCTTTTTCCACACATCAGCTACAACTCCTGTACTCAGGGATGCCTGAAAAATCAGTTGAAGTGGAATGCTGAGCTCAGGTGCACATTCTCTCAGAACCCATGGTGAAACTCCATCTGGACCAACTGCTTTGTTCTTACTTAGCTCCTTGAGCATTTTTTCCACTTCACCTCTAGACACCTCTATGTGCTCTATGTTGTTCCCTGGAATTCTTATTGGATCTGGTTCCCTAAAGATTTCCTTTTGTACAAACACACTTTGGAACTTTTTGTTTAGTGTTTTACACGTTTCCTTTTCATTTTCCATGAATCTATTTCTCATTTTCAACCTCTGAACATTATCCTTTACCTGCAATTTGTTGTTTATGAATTTATGGAATAGACCTGGTTCTGTTTTACATTTGTCTGCAATCCCTTTTTCAAAATTTCTTTCTGCCTCTCTCCTCACTGCCGTGTAGTAGTTTCTCGCATCTTTGTATCGCTGGTATGTTTGGGGGTTTGGCCTCTTCCTGTATCGATTTCATTTTTGTGTCTTTTGGTCTCTGGCCCTCTCGCAATTTCTATTGAACCAATCCTGTTTCCTTGTTCTGCATCTCTGTTTTGGTATAAATTTTTTGTGCCTTTATCATATATTTCACAAAACTTGACATACATCTCATTCACTTCCTTGTCTAGCATCAAGTCTGTCCAATTATACTCATTAAAAAAATTCTAAGGTGGCCATAATGTCCTCTCCTGAAGTCAGGTTTTTAAACTGCTTCAACCTCCTATTTTCTTCCAGATTATAACACATTGCATACTTTATTCCCAAAAAGACGTGGTCACTTTTACCCAAGGGAGGAAGGTACTGAATGTAAATATCTCTTCCTCCTTCCTGGTAAATATCAAATCTAGCATGGAAGGAACGTCCCCTTCCCTCATCCTCGTAGCTTGTTTAACATGTTGATACAAGAATGTTTCCAGGATGAGGTCTACAAATCTACTGGTCCGAAAATCTTCTGTTTTAGCTTCATATGCTTCCCAGTCTATGGATTTCAAGTTGAAGTCACCGACTATCAACAGTCGTGATCTATCGTTATCCGCTCTCTCTATAATCTCTCTCATTATTGTTATAAGACCTTCACGTTTACTATGTAGCTCCTCCTTTGACCATGTGCTGCTTTGTGCACACACGTGTGTGTGTGTGTGCACATGTGTATGTGCATATGCACATGTGTGTTACATACTCTGTGTATATACATAATATATATGTGTATATGTATACTTTTTCTTTCGGAAGGGGCTCTGTTCCCTTCTCTGTTGACGGGGCACTAGGGGAGCAGCTTGCTCTGCTGACTCTCGCATGGTCCCGCAGTTAGTGGGCACTTTTGGTTGTCTTCCGGCCTCTGGTGGTGGCGGTGGACGGCTTCTCCCCCTTTGGGGGGGCTCAGGGCTGGCAGGGTGGGCTTCTTCCCCTGCACTTCGTCATGTCATCTTAGTAGGTGCATTGGACATGGTCGATCTGCCTTATCCTTCTGGGGTTCCCGTCTGCTCTATGCAGACATGGGTCTGTCGAATCTGTGGTTCTTCTGAACTTCTTCGGTCTGCGCCCTGGATTCTATGCCCTCATCGGAGGACTGTTGTCTCCTCTCTGGCTTCTGTTGGGGCCGGGTGCCTGGATGGTGGCCCTGGACCTCCAGGTCAATTCTTGGCATGTTCCTCTCCAGTTCCTGTCCTGCGTCCTGGCGGACAGCTGTCTCGGTTCATTCTTCTGTTCGCGGATTGGCCAGTCATCGCCGACTCATTTTGTTGGCTCTGTCAAACGTATGGACTCCTGGCCATGGATGTCTTTGAGTCAGCGTGGTCTAGGCGTCGCCCATTCCACGTGGCGCCCTTACCCGCCTACGAGGTGTTCACGATGGATGCCTTTTGGCAGGACTGGTCGAGGTGGGGGTACCTGTTCCTCTTCTCCCGGTCCAGCTGTTGCTTCGGGTTCTGGCTCGGTTGGAGCCCATTCCCACGAGAGTAGTCCTTATGGTCCCTTGGTGGCCGGCCCAGCTTTATTTTCAGACGCTGCTTGATAGGTGTCCGAACCCGGGGCGTTTTCCCTGCGGCTCTGCCTCTTTTGGCAGGTCGGACCGGTCCTGTATGTGACTGGTTCGGGCTTCTCCTCGGCTCTTCACGTCTGGCATTTTGACGCGAGTATCACCATCTCTGTGGTGGCTTTGTTGATGGTGTCCCACCTGCGAGCTTTGTCTCGGCGACAGTATGACGTTCCTGGTGTTCTATGCACTTTTCCTTGTTCTTCGTAGGTTGTCTTCTCTTTCGCATTGGGTTGTCTTGTTCTTTCTTGGGTTTTCAGGACTACAGTTTTTGATGTTTCATACTGTCGCCTCATTTTGTGCGGCGCTGGCGGAGCCGCTCTGGCTTGCGTTCGGGGTGGACGTCACATCTGCCCCATTTTGTATGCTTTCTCGTGTTTTGTTTCACCTCCGGCTTCCTCATGCGTCGATTGAGCCATCCTGGTCCTTGATCAGGGTGCCTTCTTATCTTCTCCTC